AAATACTTGAGAAAAAAGGACAAGTCATATAGAAGAAAAGAACTAGTATTGACATTGATATAGCTAGTAACACTACTAATGTCTTAAATAACAGTAGATAATTGTATTTTTTTCTATATACATTACATATTTAGTAATATTAATAGTGTCTTAGACATCGACTAACAATATACATTTACTCAAACAATGGAAAAACAATAGACATCAGTCAGTCGAATAAAAATTCTCTCCACTAAAATCATCCCAGTCTGAAGAAACATGATGGTTACTTAGTGGTTGAGGATTAATGAGGGTTAGAATTTAGTTATCATTACCATCCTCACTAGCTATTTCATACTCTTTTTATATTCTGATTCTTTTTCTTCATCGGTGGATATATTGTAGCTTCCAAATCACGAATTTCTTGGTGCGTATCGGTACAAACAGCCTTAATACTTCATAGAAAGATGTCTTTTTCTTCCTTATTACAAATCGAACAAATGCTCAAAGTTGAACATATAATTACTTGCAACTAGATGAATAATATCTTGAATTTTCATGACTCTAGCCATTCTTTCCGATCAGGGTGTGTAGGTCTGGGTCTGGTTATTACTGGCACTCATTCCATTCACACCCACACCCATACATAATTAACTTTTTTTATTGATCTTAAAAATTCGTGAGTAGATAAATATTCTTTATTATTTTGTAAAATTTTAAACATTAATAATCATTTGAATAAAAATATCTAAAAGTTGAATTTGTATCAATGATTATTTAATATTATTGTTTAAAAATAAAAAATAATTAAAGTGATTAATCAGATAATTTTTATTATAATAAAAAAAAAATAATTTCAATAATATTAAAGACAAAAAAATATGAATTAATTTTTATAAATATTATTATAGTTTTATTCAATAATATGTAAAATTATTTCAAAACTTATTAGATAAAAATCATTTCACATAAATTATCTTTTATTATATTTATTTTTGGAGATTTAAGAAAAATAAATTCAATTATTTGTTTATATAGAATAAAAAATAATAGATTAATTAATAAATATTAAAATACATAGGGGATTGAGAAATTTTTTGTCTCTCGATTCTTCTTATAGTCTTAGTTTGAATTGAAGTATTCTTTTATAATTCTTAAACATATTTAAAAATATGTGCAACGTTTGACATTTCTATGTCTTATGCTTTGTTGTCATTCATTATTTCTCTTATGCTAGATACACCGCAGTTCCTATAATATAATACATAATAAGTAAAAAAGTGACATTTTAGATATCCGTTTTGAATATCTTGTATTTGAAAAACAAAACATTCGATCAAAGATGCAGCATGTAAAACTCTACAGTTTACATCAGATCGCGTTTTTTTATAGTTACACATTTTGCTTTGTAAATAGACACATGTGTTAACGATCAAACTTCAACACTTAAAAATTCTTGTTACATATTTGTATCGACTACACAGTTTTTATAGCTATTCGATATATTTTATTTTTATATATATTACATGAAAAAGGTATGAAATAAGAAAAAACACATTCATTTTTTTAACAGAAAAATATTGTTTTTATACGGTCGAACTATCATAACTTACAATTTTGCCTATTTTCAAAGTAAAATATGTAACTATAAAAAATGCGATTGTATGTAAATTGTGGAGCTTTTTATATTGCATCTTCTGATATGTTGAGAATGCACCTTATTCCGCAATGTTGAACATTGGAGGAATCAGTTCCGCACCGGAATCGATTCCATCCAAATGCGGGAACTCGATCGATACACAACATAAGAGACCCAGTCGAGGTTGATCGAGTTCGACCGATTCCGGAATTCCCAGCGACTCCGAAATTTCAGAAACTGATTCCGACTACGATTCGAGAGTTCCACGGAATTCCCACCGATTCCGAAAGTTGACGGAATTCGATCAATTTTCTAGTGGTGTCGAATATTATGTGTCGATCGATTTCCCAGAATTGAACGGAATCGGTTCTGGTGCGAAACTGGTTTCTGAAATGTTCAACATTGCGAAATAGGATGACTGTTCGATATTTTTTACTTTTTTAATACGGAGTATTAGAAAATTAAAAAGTGAACGATAAAACATAGCTATTTGATATCCTGCTATGATATAAAAGAAACAATAAATCAACACAAAACGCAGAACTTAGAAATATGAAACTTTGCACATATTTCTAAATATGTTTAAACATTATAACGGAATATTTGAACTTAAACTGAAGCTTTTAGAAACACCAAGCCAAAAAACGTTTGTATTATCTCATATGTATTTCCATTCTTATTTGATAAATTTCTAATTAATAAGTTTATCGAAAAGATTACATTTAAAAGAATATAATGAAAAATCGATTTATTCATCATTTCTATTAAATAAAATTTGAGAAAAATTCATTGACGAATAAAATCTTTATTTGATTAATTTTATTTATTATTTCAATTAAAAGAATATTCATTCGATATTATACGATATATAATATTTTAATAAATAAAATATTAATTAAACAATTATTGATTTTTTTTCGAATAGAAATAATTATCAAATAGATTTCGATAAAGTTTTTAAGAGGAAAGATGAAACTTCTCTTTATACATTTATGCTGATATATATAGAAAAACGTTTTTGAGATATTCGATTATAAACAATTGTTTTATTTTTATGATTAAATCTGATCATATCTTATACTTATTTATTTCGATATAGTTTTTCTTTTTCAATCAGATTATTATATTTTTATTTCAAACGATTTTCTTTTGTTGAAAAATTTATTTGAGATTTTCGATTTCTTCAATTAATAAAATGAAAATGTTATCTTTAGTTGAAATTATTATTCTTTACTTCTCTCCATAAACTGATGATTATTAGTTCCTAACAGTACAGAAATTTTTCAGTTACAAAAAGGAGAAAAACAAACGCAACAAAAAAAAGTGAAATAATACTAGGCGTGGAGAAAAAAAAATGAAGAGCAACTTGAAATTATTTTCAACTTTCTAAAATGTTATTTTTCTTCATTTTATTTACTTTATTTTTTTCAATTTTGTTTCACTATGAAGCACTAAAAATTTATTTGATCAAAACTCAAAAATATTTTATTGTTATTTTTTGTCTCTTCTTCACCTGAAATGTTTTGTTACATTTCTTTTTTAAAATCAAATGTATAGTGGGAAAAAACACACGAAACACGAAATGTTATTCTTTTTCAAAACAGTCAGAAGAATTCATTCACCGAAAAAGAAATTCAAATTGAGGCATACGATTAATTCTTATTTTATATCGAAATCATTATACAAAACATCACAAATTTAGAAACGCAGTTGTTTGCAACAGTTTCATTTTGGTAAGTTAGTTTTTTGAAATAATATGAAAAGTGAGCATAGAGAATATTATAGAACAATTATCTTGAGAATGAAGATAAAATTGGACGAAAGTGAAGATGATGATATAACTAAATAATTGATAGACATACAATCATACTCATCTTTTCACATTGAGTCTCTTTACTGATGTTGACATTTGTATACAAGTCAAACTTTCGATGGACTCTGGTTTGATTTAAAAAATTGCATAGATTCGACAGTAGAATGGTTTCTCCTATATGTACTTAGAGTCCTGCACGGGCGCACTTTTTTGTAACCGAAACCGAACCGGCAATTTTTTTACGCCCGAGCCCGTTCCGACCCGGCTAGTAATGCACCCGGATCCGAACCGGATCGAATAAGCTAGACCCGGACCAGAACCGAACCGTACCGGTCTACTCAGTTATTTTCCAAAATATGATCAAATTTCTAAACTTTTATTTAATTCAATAAATATAATACGTCTAGTTTCGTTCATAAGTAGGGGTAAGACAGTTCATAGTTGCAAATCCAGATGAACTGGTCAAAAGAACTATTATACAGTTCCCAAGAACGTAACTAATATAGAACTGTCCTATCCCTATTCATAAGTAAGAAAGAAAAATATATATTATGTAAAACTACCTAAAAAAACAAGTGAATCAGCAGTTAGCTGAAGATGTAGATCTTGCTCTTGTCTCACATCCACACACAAGCCCACACCTACATCCACCCTTCGTATTGTAAGATGTTAATTAACAAAACAATAAAAGCTTTTTATCCGAAACATCTTGAGGGTGGGTGTGCGGGTGTGGGTGTGAGTTCTCGTATATTAAGGTGAGAACTATATAACTATCACACCCAAACCCACACCCACACCCACACCCACACCCACACCCTCACCCTCACCCACACCCTCACCACATCCACCCCACACCGACACCCACACCCAACAAGACATCCATATCGTTCTGTTCTGTGCAGAGCAGCAACCTAATGTTGACTCAATTTTTTGCGTGTTTATTTTCACTTGTTTTACTAAGAAATATTTTTCGTTCTGTTTTTCTTTCTACCTGCTCTTCAACGTTTTTCATTTTTTTTAGAAAATTTTATATAAGTATGTTCGTGTAGTGGTAGTTCTACATCATTAAATTCTATGGATGAATCAATATTAAATCATTTATTTCTCCCACATAATTTACCGGTTTCTGCGGAGAGTGATTTCTTAATTAAAGGCAAGCATGAAAATGAATATAAGTTATTAGAATGTATGAAAGAGTATTTCAATTCTAATGATACGAAGACTATAGTACCCATGTTTCGAAGTCTTATTCATTGCATCGAGTCTTGGTGTTTCTTACAGAATCCAACAAATTTTTCTGTCTCGAATATTCAATCCATCACTGAGCAACTGCCACCAGGAAGTTTCCTTCCGCTTTATTTTCATGCTCAGAATGCCGCCATCTTGATTGAAATTAATGAAACAAATACCGATCAGCCATTAATTTCGGCTTGGCAAGTTTTATTACCAGCAGAAAAAATTGTTTCTTCTTTTATGCCACACATTTCTTACTTTCCGGTAACGACATACAAAGTATATCATCGACCTCAACTTATCTGCAAAGCTCACTGCGAATTGTTGATAGATTTTATGAACAATACTATTGAATATCCCAAAGCATACAAGGCCTCGCGTCAAGTTAATGAAATACGTGATGTACCTGAATCACACTATGTATGTCAATGGTGGATTCAACACTTCGACAAGATAGAAGTAAAAGACAATCCCAATTCATTTATTCAATTTAAGAAAAAACATCGCGATCAGATTAGATGGAATCGTGGATTGTTACCTTTTCGACGATCAGGTTTATGGATGACTATCAAAGTAGTCCTTCATACTATACTGATCAAACGTTTGGGAGATGTTGGTACCATCGTTTATAAGTTGCTGATTACTGATTTTCTGACACATATTATTTGTACTCGACAAATTTCCACTGATTTATTGGTTCATTGTGTTAGAAAAATTGTACGACGATTAGATAAAATTGAAGATTTATTGACAAAAATAGAAACAAATAATATAGACACATGGATTCAACTGACGAAACAAAATATAGCACTGAAAGTGAACAAAATTATGCCAAAACCAGATTGGCAAAAAATAACCCGTTTGAACAAAAGAAAGCAAAAGAAATTCTTCGATATAAACTTCAATCCGAAGGATCTTGAGATCTATGAACATTCATGTCTAGAATTCAAAATCTATTTGAAAGAGCAAAGTTCAAACACAACATCCAAGTCTTTCTTAGATATGAACAACCATACTGACAATAGTAATGTTAATCAAATAGATTATATACCTTCCATCGAAGTATTGACGAAACAATTCAATTATACTATCAATGTAGCTTTGACTCGTGTAGAAATTTGGATTGAATCACATTTGGAAGAATGGATTAATCGGCCAATAACATCTCAAAACGAAAACAATCGTTACGAAGTTTTATTACATATGTTCGAGGAGTATCAAAATGCTGCACTCAACCATTACTGGTCAGGAGGAAGTTCATCAGACCCTATCGGTTATAGTCGATTTATTCTAGCATCACTAATGATTATTCGTTCCATGCATCAAAATCTTTGTAAAGATCCAAGATTTGAACGATTAAAATCACACTCTATCGTTATTCCAGATCTTATTAGTTTGTTTGAATATTTGACCTTACCCACCCGGGATGATATGATCAAAGCTTATAACCTATACATTGATTTTAGTGAATTTAGTCGTAAAATCTATCCGGATCTTTTAGCCGACATCAAATCTGTCGATGCATTTGGTATTCATTATGCTAGACAATCACCACCGATGAATGATAGTATACAGGCAATCCGAATTCAAGCTGAACAGGAGAAACAAGAAAAAATAAAAGAAATCGAAGATGCAAAACAAAGTTATATACAACTTATCAATTCAGTAAACGGTCTGTCATGTGAATGTGTATGTAAAGGCCTATTTGTAACTAAATGTAAGAAATGTAAAATTGAACAACAGGCTGAAAAAATTCAGGTAAAAATTTTCGAATGTCCAATACCTGCAGTACATGAAAATGCATTAGCCGTTATTTTTGAACTTCAAATGCCTATTGAAATAAGATGTTACCGAGATGTTCTTTGGCAATTTATCAATCGTCCTCGCCCAGTACGAGGCAGTAATATGTGTGAATGGTTAAAAATTTCACCCCATGCAAGCAAGCTAGGACCTCACTTTACTAGTCCACGAGCCTACAAAGTGAAACTAATATCTCCAACTAACGCTATCACACAAACTCACTATTCCCATCCACCATCAATTGCATCTGCATCGGTACAAGATTTCCTTTTTGAAAATAGTCTGCAAATTGCAATCTCACCGATAGAGTCAATTCAACCTTCCGATGAACGTCGTATATTAACACCTCAACTAAATCATTCAGATTACAAACAATTACAATTCACTCTAGATACTACACAATTTGTACAAAATCAAGTCATTGCTCAACTATCTGACTGTCCGTTGCGACTTAAACCTACACAATTTGTAGAATTCGGTTCATTTCGATCAGGTCATCGTTTGCAATGGTGGAATCTTTTACCGATTTTTGAAATAGAATCATTACCTATCGCTGACGAAAGTATCGTGATATTAATCACACATTCAATATTACAATATGGTCCATTAATAACAGATCAAAACCTAATTCTTAATAGTTGGTGTACAGAATCGCATCAAGAGCTGCTCGAAGACCATTTTGTAGATGAATTAATTTCGAGATTGAATCATCATTTAAATGATTGTGAATTGAACTGGCAAAATGAATTGGTCTTAGTCATTATTACAATGATTACGATGAGAATTTTGACTATTTGTAATCCAACAAAGGAAGATAAAACTGCTGATTTAGCCAGAAAATGTCGTAAAATTGGTGAAAAATGGGTTGACTTAATTTCGGCAACTATTCAAACTGTATCACCTTCAGATTTTGATGAAGTCAATAAACTTCGTCTCAAATTAGTAAATATCGGTCTTGCATGTCTTCTAACATTTTCAACTCATCCAGATCGAATACGATATTTATTGTCTTCGAATGAACATGTCGTATCTTTATTGAAAGCTGCAACTACGATTCATGATAATATTCTTTTGAATAGAAACCCATCTGATAGGAGCACTTTCATGGGAAATATCATGCGATTTAGTGAACGTGTTCTTGTAATACTACAACCAACAATTGCAGAACATCTTCAGAAGACAGCTTTCCAAAGTTTAAATGATTTTGTTGCTATTTATTGGTCAGTTATAAAGACTAATGGTAATATGAATGGACAATGGAAGAAGCGATATATTGATACGTATGATGGCTGGTACGATTGTCAATATGATTCAAGATTAATATCGATTGATTGTATTCAAGGAACATTTTTAGTTGATGGAATGACTATTGGTTTTTTGCCTAGTCCGATTACTTCGAATAAATTATTTATTCGTGTATTTGCTTCTCATATCTTTGAAGTTCAACAAGCTGAATTACCTTATACATATATTACTAAACATTCTTATCATGATGGAAGAGTTTTATATGAATTTTATTTTAATAATCAAAGCAGTCATTTGATAATTAAAGAACGACATATACAGACAAATCATGTCTTTCAATTGATTCCACATCATTATTTTGAAAAGGAACTTTCCGATACGTTTGTTTCAAATTATAGCCATTGGTGGAATACAGGAAATCAACAACTACAGTTTCGATCTATTCATTTTCAAAATACCGAGTTCTTGGATAACACACCTTATGTATTAAATATGGATACAGGACGCATTACTACTACTGAAACTGGCAACGCACAAGTGTTGGTCAATCAGGTATCAGCATTCTTTCGAAATTTATTTGCAAAATATTTTGTTCGTCTTGATGACAAGCCATATGTTTACATGATGTCAGATCACAGTTCTCAATCGCAAACTATTATTCATATCCATTTGTCTCGATTAGGAATCGCTTTTCGATATAATTCTGCAACTGAATTAATTACCTCTCGCGAATATTCAGACATGCGTGTTGACGTAGATCAATGGTTAGGAACATTAACAGGTTTAACATCTGGTCTTCTCCTATCACCGTTACCCGTTAATAATCAGAGATTAGATAATTATCCTTATCGAAAATTAATCGTTCCTTTTGGAGAAGTTGAAAGTAGCATGACTACTGTTAACATCCATCAAACCGTAACCATTCGACGAACATCAGTCACCACAGATCTTCTTCGCCACTATTTTGTTTTTATATTAAATGATCGACTCAATATTCTTCAATCTACCGATAGTCCTGCTGGGTGGCTCTATTTATCACTATTACATGCAAAAACGTCCAATCCATTACCAGATGAATATACGAAAATGACTGGAATGGAACGTGCCTTTCAATTGTTAAATTCAGCTGGATGTTCGTCAGATCAACCTTTCGATGCACTTTCGCTTAATATTCTTGCTCAAATAGCATCGATTTCACCAAATGTCAACTATTATCCACAACATCTACAATGTATGGTAAAGATAGAGTGGATTTCAAACGAGTTGCCATATTCCATGCAACATTTTGGCTATTATTTGATAACAAAGAAATTGATCAGTGCTAGTCATCAATTGAATTTTATGTATCCATCGCTGGCTTCAAATTATTCACCAGAAATATTTAGAGGAAATTCGTATGATGAAACATTACTGAAAAAACTGTACTGGGATTATCGAGACTCATACAATCCTATTGCTAGATTATCTGCAGATATGGAAGCAGATATACAACGATTACTTCAGACAACGCCATATCAACCACACGTACAAAACTACTCGTCTGTCACTGATAATAGAACTATTCAGTTGGTAGATGGTTTATATAGTGATGGTAATGTAAATCTGATAGAGTATTCATTGAATAATTGGTTACCTTTGTCACAGTGGTGGACTGCTGGATATGCGTTGAGAAATATTTGGGTCGGTCTATTAAAACTAACTGAGCGTTTTAAACAAGAACGAATTGAAAACATTGTAGACGATATTGGACGATTCGAAATCTTATTAGACTTTTTCTATTATAATTCTGACAAACTTGGGATTAATCCATTTTATTTACAAATGCTACAAACAGCACTGAAAGCACCAACTATATCATTGACATCTATCGAATTTCCTTTATTTAAAAACTACCAAAAAATCGGAGATACTTCAGTCGTTTTTCGAAGCAATCTTACTTCACGTCAAGAAAAAGGAGTTAAAGCTGGTATGCGGAAATGTTTAGAACAGGGTGTACAGTTCATAGATTATCACAATCGTTTGAGTTCAAGAGATGTATCTAATATCAATCGATTATTAAGACAATGGAGCTCTAACATAAAACTTCAATCTTTTTTAATAGATGTTCAAAGTCGCATCTGCGCTGTTTCAATAAAACCGTTCAGAATCAAAGTACCATTTTATGCTCAAAAATTTGAATATGAACAAATGAAAGATCGTCATCAGATATATGTCAAATCGAATAGCAAATCAATCGATCGAACACTGCTAAAAAATGCGAAACAAACATTCCATCAGTTCTCTTCAGATCATTTTAACAAAACAACAATACCTTTTCAATCTGCTAAAAATTCGAAAGCATTTCCACAAAATATTTTTCCTTCTAACAACGATCGAAATAATTCTCTCAGTGAATTGACCAACTATTTTAAGAAGCAATTAAGTGAAAGTTGGGAAAAGCTTGTAAATGACGAACAAATCGAAAAAAAAGATCCTTCAGCTGAAGAAATTTTCACACGTCTCAACTCTCTGAAACAAGAATTAACACAAAGCTGGAATGAACTAATCAACTCTATTACATCATCTCATGAACGACTGTTCGAATCTGGCGTAGTTTCAAGAATCACACCAACGACTCTTATCTCTCTTTTTCAACAAAAGGGAACAACATTCGATCTGACTAACGATCAACGAACATTATTAGGTGGTATTCTTGTTAATTGGACATTGGAACAACAATTGGAAAGGGTTTTATATTTTATTGCTCTTAAGAAACAAGATGATTTCAAAGAAGAAATATTAAATATGCCTCATTCTAACTGGGTACCATCTGAACATATTCCATGGTTAATCTTAGAATTAGAAATGAATATAACCATTCGAGAAATACAAATAAAGGTCGCACGTCATATGATGCAACTAACTACAGATACGAATGATAAAGCGATAAAAAATATTGTCATGCAAATGAATATGGGTGAAGGAAAAACTTCAGTTATATTACCCATGTTAGCTCTTAGTCTATCTTCATTTAATTCCAGTTTAGTTCGTATTATTGTATTGAAATCATTATTTCCGACTAATTATCAATCGTTACGTTATAAATTAGGTGGTTTACTTAATCGACGTATTTTTCCATTTGTGTGTCGTCGTGATTTGAATTTTAGTGATTCTCAAATACAACAAATTGATAATCGTTTTAGACAAGGATTGGAGAACTGTGATGTGGTTTTAACTTCTCCCGAAGATATTTTATCCTTCGATTTGCTCACTATAGATAAATGTCAACGAGAGGATTTTGCTGCAGGTCGCTCAATGTTAATACTTCAACGATGGTTGAAAGCTTATACTCGTGATGTATTAGATGAATCGGATGAAATTTTACACGTTAAATATCAATTAATCTACACTGTGGGTACTCAACAGCAAGTCGATGGAGGTTCAGAACGATGGATAGCTATTCAATCGGTACTTGACTTAGTTAAAAAACATGCTACACAAATTGCAAATGATTTTAGTAATGACGTTTGCTACAAATCACCTGAACGAACAAGTGCTTTTCCACAATTTCGTTTGCAATCACATGTACCATTTCCAGAATTGTGTAAAAGAATAGCCAATGCTTGGCTCGATCAACAAAATTTTTGTCAAACTGATAAAGAGCTTATTATATCGTTTGTTTTAGAAATCGATTCATCTATTGATTGCCTTATGAATAGATTTTCAAAGGATGATATTCAATTATTTCTCATCATTCGTGGTTTGTTGTCATCAGAAGTGTTATTAATTGCTTTGAAAAAACGATATCGAGTTAATTATGGTCTAAATCCAAATCTATCTTTTAATCGACTCATAGCTGTACCATTTCGTGCTAAAGATGTTGCAGCGGATAGAACTGAATTCGGTCATCCAGATATTGCACTTGTCTTAACACATCTTACTTATTATTATTCTGGTCTAAATGATTCTCAATTAACTCAATGTTTCGATCGTTTAAATGAAAAAGAAACTGATCCTGCATCAATTTATGATGAATGGATTTCACGTGAAGATATCAATGATATACCTACAAGTATTAAACATTGGAAAGGAGTGAATTTGAAAGATTATCAACAAAGAACTCACTACTTATTTCCAACATTAAGATACAATATGTTAGTAATCAATTACTTTCTAAATTATTTTGTATTTCTTCGAGAAGCAAAACAATTTCCACATAAATTAGTTGCAACAGCTTGGGATTTGTCTTCGTCATCACGATCGAAAATTATCACTGGATTTAGTGGTACAAATGATACACAGTTATTATTACCTATTCATATCCGCCAGTACGATTTACCTGAACTGCAAAAAACTGATGCCATTGTTGTTAATAATTTATTACAACCAGAAAATGAAAGTTATCGACCTTTACCGATCAATGTTACGTCAATGGAGATTTTAGAACTAATCATACGCTTCGAAAAGAATATCAATGTTATTTTAGATGTTGGGGCGCTATTTGTTGATGGAACTAATCGAGATATTGCTATGAAATGGTTGAATCTATCCGATAAAACCAAGATTGATTATGTTGTTTATTTTGATTCTGATTCAATAGTTGTTTGTGATCGACAAAGTCATCTTTCTCATCCATTCGTCACGTCTTCAGCGAGTGAGCGATTGGATCGTTGTGTATTTTATCTAGACGAAATTCATACAAGAGGAACAGATTTCAAATTTCCAAAAGAATTTCGCGCTATAGTGACACTAGGAAATGGCTTAACCAAAGATCGTTTTGTTCAAGCATGTATGAGAATGAGAAAACTAGGAAATGGTCATTCATTAGCATTCTGGAGTTCATACGAAGTTCATCAACAAATTACAACATTAAAGACAAATTTATCTAGTCGAATTGAAGGAGAATCGAATATGAATAATAGCAATGTAATACATATTCTTCGCTGGGTTTACGAGAATACAGTGCATGCCACATGGGATGGATTACATCATTGGGCTTTACAAAGTTCAAGTTTTCAACGGAAGATTGCAGCTTTTCAATCAATCAATTGGAATAATTTTGAACAACTATTCTTAGATAAAATGATGGCAGAATTAGCCAGAGAATGTTTAGAATCAGAAATCATTGAATTAGCATTTATGTATGGTGCAGGTAAAGCACTTCGAACAGTAAAAGACATTCACATTGATCGATACCGTCAAAGCAAATTTTGTCTATCATCAGAAATAAAAGACCTAGTGTTGAAACGACTGATTGAATATGGAGGAACAAAGCAACGTTTATCACAATTATTAGATGAAGAACAACAACGAGAATTAGAACAAGAATTAGAAGAAGAACGACAACTAAAGCGTCTTCCACCTGCTGAAGCATATTCACCCATATTACATCAAGAAATCAAAAGATTATCTAATACAGAGGATACTATGATGGATCTAACACAGTTTCCCAACATATTTCGTCCTTTGCCAGATGCTTTCATTGACACAACATTCCATCTTAACTGTCAATCTAATAGTTGGTCCTCAAATCTATGGATTACAACAGAATTTCAGCGTATTATTACAACTAAAGGTGAACCATTAGATTCATTTCTACGTACTCCACGGTGGCTTTTAGTCTATCGGAATCAACAATATATCTTTGTTAATGCATTAGAAGCGAATTGGTTGATAGGACGTTTACGATCGAATAAATCTCCGACAACGACTTTACGCTTATTATTACCACGTATAAAAAAAAATCAATCAATACTTGTCAATACTTCAACTCTGACAGTTCCTCCATTAATTAATTTCCCCAATGAAGCTACTGCTGTCAACATACCATTCGATTACTTGGTTCAACTATTCATATTCAACGGTACTCTCTTTTTCGATAACGTTACCGAGCAAACCGAATATTGTCAATGTTTACGTTTATGTCCTAAACCTCGAACAGAAAAAGAAGAAAAAGCTTTTGAAAAAAGATGGATCGATAGTGATGGATTTATAAGTGATCCTCGGTATTATCATCATTTACAAATTGCGCAAGCTCGATTTAAGTCCAACCCACTCGCATTTATCAAACAAGTTATCGACAATCGAAATAATTCACATGTACCTCTATCATCACATGTTGGTAGTATTATTTTCAAATCATTAAAACTCATTAAATAAAATTAATAACACTTTCTTGCTTTTCATTTTAAATAAAAAAAACTAACAATCAGAAAAATAATTCAACGTCCACTGGGTTCTATAGTATCTGTTCATATCATATCATTGTTTCTTTCCTCATATTTCGTGAGAACTTATAGACGAAAGTAAAACGAAAGGATATGGGTGTGGGTCCGAGTTCAGAGTGATCATACTGCTGTCACCCACATCCACCCTTCGTTAAAGAAATGAAAGAAAAAAATACTCCAATATACTCTATTGTTTCGTTGTGACAAAGGATATATTTATCAAAATAATAATGTAAAATTACTAAAGAGCTTTTTACCTTGACATAGTTATCGTTTTTCAGAATATCAGCTAACCTATTGATAGAAACAGATATGGTTTGAGAAAAGTATTTTATTGTGAAGAAATACTAAATGCATTAACTAAGTTAATTCTACTGATAGAATCCTGGTTTATTTTAAATATACGTGCAGTTAAAACATGGTGCTGATTTTGTAAAAACTCTATCCAATTCTTTTTCTTAATTATAAACAATTTTTATCAAATTCAAAGTTACATACAGGACAAAAGTAATAACACAAAAATTAATTAGCTATTTCTCTTTGATAATCTGGCGCCGGATAAAAACGTTTTCAATAAGAGTTAGAGTTTTCTCGATTTTTTCAGACCACAAATAACTTGTGTTGCATCGTGTAAACTCTACAATGTTTTTAAATGATACTTTATAATTTTTGATTATCTAATTATTTTTATGTTTTTTACCAATCTCAGCGACGAACAGATATCGATTATATATATCTGAAGAGGAAAATCTCAACTGTCATTTAGTATGAATTCTAAGGAAATAATATATCAATAAAAATATTGTTTTTCATTGATTGTAAATCATTCTTATTGTGCAGGTGTTGATCGATATGAGTGAAAGAAAGATTTTTGTTTTCTACTGACATCTATACTATTCAATTTTATTTTAATGAATAATAAATAACATTTTTCTTTTCTATTCATTTTATTATAATAAACTTCATTGAGAGTGTTATACTAGTATATGAACGGGTGTGGGTATGAATAACCAAAAACTTAATCGCACCCACACGCACACCCAAGATCAACGAATGATTATATTTTAGAAACTATTTTATTTTTTAGGATAAGAAAAAAATTGCTGCATGATAAATCACAAGTTTAGTTTGTCTTTCACGAAATTGATTAGATCTTGTCGTTTATCGACAACTTCCACCTGTTCTGGAATGTTCGGTAGTTTCTTTTTGAGTTCGACTCGATCTCGCGTATAGACACCGAGAGGTACATCAAGATTGAATTCGTTGAGAAGATGCACTACGTCGATGACATTTTTCGATTCTTTGAAATATCGACCGCGACAGATCACTACTTTCTTCTGTTGAAGTCTGATGTCTTCTGCATGATCTT